AAGGGAGAGAAAAAGGAGCAAGAGAAAGAGAGAAAGAAAAAGACAGGGAAAGAAAGAGGGAGAGAGAGAAGGAAGGAAAGAAGAAAAAAGGGAGCAAGAGAAAGAAAGAAAGAAAAAGAGAGGGGAAAAGAAAGAGGGAGAGAGAGAAAGAGGGAAAGAAGAAAAAGAGAGAGAGGGAAAGAAAGAGGGAGAGAGAGAAAGCGAAAGAAGGAAAAGGGAGCAAGAGAAAGAGAGAGCAAAAGAAGGAAAGAAAGAGGGAGAGGGAGAGAGAAAGGGAGAGAGAAAGAAAGAGAGGGAAAGAAAGAAATAAAAAGGGAGAGAAAAAGGAGCAAGAGAAAGAGAGAAAGAAAAAGACAGGGAAAGAAAGAGGGAGAGAGAGAGAGAAAGAAGGAAGGAAAAGGGAGCGAGAGAAAGAGAGAGCAAAAGAAGGAAAGAAAGAGGGAGAGAGAGAGAAAGGGAGAGAGAAAGAAAGAGAGGGAAAGAAAGAAATAAAAAGGGAGAGAAAAAGGAGCAAGAGAAAGAGAGAAAGAAAAAGACAGGGAAAGAAAGAGGGAGAGAGAGAAGGAAGGAAAGAAGAAAAAAGGGAGCAAGAGAAAGAAAGAAAGAGACAGAAAAAGAGGGAAAAAGAAAGAGGGAGAGAGAGAAAGAGAGAAAGAAGAAAAAGGAAGAGAGAGAGGGAAAGAAAGAAGGAGGGAGAGAGAAAGAGAAAGAAGGAAAAAGGGAGAGAGAGAAAGAGGGAAAGAAAGAAGGGGGGGCAGCCTAAAAATCCAGGATGTCAACTCAAGCGATGAGTACTGTGAGGAAACAGCGCTCAGAGTTGTAGAGCCACACAGCAGCCACCTCCCAATTTCATTATTTCCTTTTGGATTAAGCCAGGGTAAGTAAAGTGCCAAAAAGGAGAAGAAATGGAAAGCAAAGCTCACGGAAGACAAGGAATAAGAAAGGAGGAAGGGAAATGGAGTTTGGATCCACCCCAGGAGTTCTTCACTTTTTCCAGTTGGGCAGGGTTGTTTGACCCATGCTGCAACTTTGAACTAATAACTAATAAATAAAGATTAATTCCTTTATTGCTTTCTCTAAGACATCTGTGATGTTATTACAATGAATGATTGGGACCTTAGGTACTTGTACAGTGGAATAATTAAATATGGGAAATAACTCTTATTGGGAAGGAGCGAGCTTTACAAAGAAAAAGCGTTTGAAGAACAGTACAACATTAAAACAGCAATTGGTATAGAAGTGTAGTCCTGGACTTTATTTTTTATTATTTAATATATGAATGCAATTCTTGATTTTGTAGAAGCTTTGGATGCTTTTCAAACTGTGCTCATGTCTTGATTTTCATGACCTATTTGTTTATAAGTTTAGCTTTTTGTGGACACCCACTCCTAAAAGATTTGGGCAGCTAATGGATGCAAACAATTGAACACTTCAACAATAGAACAGTTGAACCAAGAATTCCAGTGGGGAAAGAAAAGTAATTAATTCAAAATGTGCAGCCTATAGCTTACCCCAAATGACCTAACCTGGTTCTCCTGGACAGGGCCAGATCTTCAGCGCTTTCTTGAAGGCAGACAAAGCTGGGGTTTTGCAGATCTTGGGGGAATATTGTTCCAGAAGCAGGTGCATTGATAGAGAAGGTACATTTCTGGGTCCTGCTGGATCTTACTGGATGGGCAGACACAATGGGAGACTGGCAATCCATATTCTAATCTATATTGTATAGGTCTTTATTGATGACAACTAGCACCATGAATTGCACTCGGTAGCCTACTGGTAACCAGTTAGCTTGTATACTTGTGGTCTTACATAGGTGTACCAAGGTCTGCCCATAACTATTTGCACTGCCACATTCTGGACCAGTTATCGCTTCTGCGTGGTCTTCATGGGCAGTCCCATGGAGAGCGCGTTGCATGCTAGCTAGGGAATTCTGGAAGCTGAAGTCTGCATATCTCAAAGTTTCTCAAGTTGAGAAACGCTGCTGTAGGATGTCGCGGTCAAAATCAAGATTCAATTTGTCCCGTGCTCAGCGATGTGATTTTTTAAACAGTCAGACCGTTCAGCATTTTTGTCTTTCAGAGACAAGTTTAATGTCAGGAAAGAAGCAAGCTTGTTTGCTTTGATCTTCCTCTTCCACAACTTCAGTTTACCTTTCTAAGTTGTTAGTGTCTTGATTAACCTAACTGCAACTTGATCCTGAAATATGAGCTTACAAAGTTCTGCAAATGCACCGGGGAGATAAGCAAGTTTCGATAGCCGCTTGCAGTTCAGGAATGACAAGGCCAGGAGATGATTTTGTTCAGGTGCGGTCCCACAACTCATAGAAAAACGTTTCTTCAAGACGATCACCTAACCACAGAATAATAAAGCAAATGGGTGCCCTTGGAGACACTATCGGGGCACATCTGGGTAGAACTCCTGCTGTTGAGTGACCTCGCTGTTTTACGTTCACAACTCAGTGACCACTTTCCTCACATTATCCAACTCCTCTAACAACCTCTTTGAACAAAGATCATGAAAAATGGTTGCTTGTAGACTTGTTTTCTTAACGCTGGCACAAAAGCCTTGCCATATTCCAAATATCGCTGGTGTACCATCAACACACCCTCTGAGTCATTGATTCCAGGGCAGCATCACAGAATAATAGAGCTGGGTAGTACCTCAGTGGTCATCTAGTCCTGCTTGACGCAAGATCTACTGAAGCAATGAAAAATGGTTGCTTGTAGACTTGTTTTCTTAACGCTGGCACAAAAGCCTTGCCATATTCCAAATATTGCTGGTGTACCATCAACACACCCTCTGAGTCATTGATTCCAGGGCAGCATCAT